CCTAAAAAGTTTTTAGGATAAGCTGTTGTGAGTGATCGCGAATGGAGCACCCGCATCGTTTATCTCTTTTATGTAGGTACATAGGTGCACACCCAAAACTCTTACAAAATGAAATTTTATGAAGAACGTACGTATTTACGAAATATCTGGTGTTCAGGGAAATCCCAACTAAACCACACATGTATGTACATAGGTGCACACCCAAAACTCTTACAAAATGAAATTTTATGAAGAACGTACGTATTTACGAAATATCTGGTGTTCAGGGAAATCCCAACTAAACCACACATGTATGTACATAGGTGCACACCCAAAACTCTTACAAAATGAAATTTTATGAAGAACGTACGTATTTACGAAATATCTGGTGTTCAGGGAAATCCCAACTAAACCACACATGTATGTACATAGGTGCACACCCAAAACTCTTACAAAATGAAATATTATGAAGAACGTATGTATTTACGAAGTATCTGGTGTTCAGGGAAATCCCAACTAAACCACACATGTATGTACATAGGTGCACACCCAAAACTCTTACAAAATGAAATATTATGAAGAACGTATGTATTTACGAAGTATCTGGTGTTCAGGGAAATCCCAACTAAACCACACAACTCCGCACTTAGGGAAATGCAGTTTGAAGAAAAAATCACTACCTACGCGCACTTTTAATGCATGCTGTATGCATAACAAAATGCATAATGCTCGGACTTCTCATATTCAAGTGAGAGGAAATTTCTGTGCTTTTTTCGATCGCGAATGAAAAGGAGCGGACATTTTTTTGTCGATCGCATTCCGAATGTGAGGGATAATAAATTTGTTTGCATTTTTCACTCGCGATAAAAGAATGCAAAAATAATTATGGAATTTTCTTCATCACGAACGTAAGAGAATGTGAATGAGAATTTCCGAACCCTGGTCGTTGTATACGATCTTGCCATGATGTTGGATTCTTCAAGTGAAGACATTTTCAGACCCGATGAAATTCTCAAAAAGGAATTATTCTTGCACCGAAATAAAAAAAAATATAAGTAAAAGTCCTCTCAACTGCAGTGTCACTCGAAATGAATTAAAAATATTCACCGCTATTCTGGTTGTCGTAAGTCGTTCGTAACGACAATCGTTCGCCGAACTATGTCGTAAATAAAAACATTAACGACTTTTTGAAAGGATAGTAGGATTAAAAATTTGTAGTAGACTATGTCATTGGTTGCCTCAACAAAATCTCAAATCTCGACGAATGACTGTAGTGTCGACAATCGGAATAGAGGCGATTGTCAAGTTTCCCACACAGATATCTAAAGCCTCGAGCGGGCAGTTATTTTGTAGCGCAGGTTTGATTTACATAAAATATTTAAAATTTGCTCTAAAAAATGTTTGTTTAAATTTACGCATATAAAGAGATGTAACCAGTTTCCTCTCCTAATGTGTGCAACTTTACACACGGTGTAATAAAATTAAATACTGGTACATTTACACGTAGTTTGTCGCATCGAGCAAAATTACACATAAAATGTTTAAAGTTTAGTAAATATGAGCACTTAATATTTATTATTATATTTAATGTATGGAAATTTACACACCGTGCTAATTAAACTAAACACTCCTTGTTCACTTTTACTTACTAGGGCTGGGTAAATTCGATATTCGAAGCTTCGATATTCGAATTTTAATCGAATTTTAGCTCCAAAACGCCGAAATTTTGAAATCGAACTTTGCGTCGGATAAAATCGAATTTTTCTAGAAAAAATCGAATTTCGCATTTATTTCCAAAGAAATCAACTCTTCAACTTTCTTGTTTCTGACTAAATTTGCCATCACTGTGTGTGGCACTCCATTTCTCTTAGGGATGCAAGTAAAAAATACATGTTTTTCGATCTGATGTATCAAGACAAAAAAATCTGTGCCAAGAAGGAACTCTTATTCTTAAATAAAAAAAAATGTAAAAAGTACTTTTTTGTTGATTCTTTATTTTAAATTTGTAGAGGCTTTTACGTTGGTAGTACGAAGCTTTTACCTGAGAAGACCCCTAGTAAAATTTTCCGGTAAATAATTTTCTAGAGTACACCAGTCCTCTAACGACCTTCCAAATTTGTTTTTTGCGGGATTTATTGAAGTAAGGATCAAAATTACCCTTTTAGGCGGGAGCTAATAGGTTAAAATGTTCTACGAAAATATTTCCCATGAAATTTTATTATATATGTCTTAACTTCTAATTTCGCTCAGACATTTATTTTAAAATTTTTTTTGAAAACTACTTAGGCCGAGACATGGAAACTTTAGTAGGCCATGAAATAAAAATACGAGCTAACTTTTGCAAATCCACCGAGTGTTTTACTACTTGATGGGTATACTTTCAGAAAATGTTAGTAAAGTCCGGGCTGGTTTGGTCTGTCCTACAGTGTAATTTGAGTTTAACTTTTTAAACAGGTGACCACTCTCTTCAAGCACCTCAAAAATATTGTAATTGTTGCATAGTATTTTAAGCATAGCACTTCTTTAACTAAATTAGACTTTTCAAGCAGGTGGCACCCCTCTTAAATGCAATTCAAAAATAAAGTTTATTCAAAATCATTTCGATTGATACCCATATTGGGGTAATTTATTTAACTTATTAAATAATCTGATTTTGATTTTTTTACATACATTCATATGGCACAAAGCTAAAACCATATTACACATCTACAGGGCAACCCCTTTCATTTGACACCTACCTCGTTTTTGAAAACCGAACGAACGATACAGATTTTATAACATGGTGTTAAATATTTAACGCAAACATCTCCGAACTCGATTAAGAAGTTTCACTTAAAAAAATTTTTGGAAAATTCGAAAAAACTCGAATTAAATCGAATTTGCACCACCAAATTTCGAATCGTATAATCGAATGGTTGGGCAATGTTCGAAATTCGGAAAAAATCTAATTTCAACCCCCCACTGCCCATCCCTATTACCTACCATATGTGTGACGTACAACAAATTTCTTTTTTTTTTGAGTTTTACACACTTAGTGCTCACAGTTAAACAGTTTACACATACAATGTTTAAAATTGCTCTAAAAAAATTTTGTTTATAGTTACGAATATAAAGAGAAGTAACCAGTTTCCTCTCCTAATTTTTGCAAATTTACACACGGCGTTAATATAATTAAACACTTCCTGTTTACTTTTACATACCAAATTTGTCGCGTAGAGCAAAATTACACATAAAATGTTTAAAATTGATTAAATACGAGAACTTAATGTTTTTTATTAATAAAAAATATATTTTTACGTTCAAAATGTTCGCAATTTTAACTATTTATGTGGGTATTTTAAACATCTCATGTTCAAAAATCAAATCTTGAACATCTTATACGTATATTTACACAGATTTTGGTTAATAAATAAACACTTTTCGGTAGTAGTTTTACATGGACTTTTTAGAGTGTAAATCACCTAGTTTAATTACCTAAATTATTTCTTAAAAATACCTGACAATCGCATTCGCATCCGCGGATGTCTAAAATTCCACATTTTCAACATCCCTAGTATAAACATACGTATAAATGTTAGAGTATGTAACGTGAAGTATGTACAAATTTCTTTTGCTTTTTAAAACAAAAAATATATTAAAAGCACATGTTACGTCCTAAAAATTTGTTTTCGATATAAATACATCTTATATATATAAAAATGGTGTGAAAAATGTATAGTAATTCATCAATTGAGAACGGTTGGGCCGATGTGGCAAAATTTTTCTTTTAGTTGTTCGCAATTTCCAGGAAAAGGTTTTTACGATAGAAAATTTTGGGAAAACTTTCCGGGAAAGTCGGGAAATTGGAAAAATCGAAAATTGATTTTTTTGTATGGAATTTTTTGTGCAATTACTTCGGGATGGCTTTCGAATGGTAAAATAGAAAATTCTGGAAAAGTCGGAGTCCAGAGAGTCCAGAAGAACGCGAATATTTGGATTTTGTCGACGAAATTTTGTATTTTATCGCATGATTTGATGATTTTGGACAATGTTAAGGTGGAAAATTCGTTGTGAAGCTTGGAAAATTTCTGATAATTGTGAAATTCATTGTGAACATGAATCAATTGGGAACAATTTTCTTCTAAATATTTTTCATAACCGATTCGAATGGTTGCTGCTTTTTGGAAAGGTGTTTAGAAGGAGTGCACAAAGTTTGAATTTTTCCGATACGTGGGGCAGGGGTCGAGCTACGCTAAAAAATGCATTTGGCTACCTATGTACGTACCTTTTGCCTAAATTAGCATAAGGGATCCATTATTCCGTTAAGTGAGCCAGGGACCGATCTATTCGAAAAAGTCTTATTTATGGTCCGATTTGCTTGAAATTTGGCACGTAGGTAGCGTAGTGTCTGGGTTAAAATATAGGAGGATTTTTCTGATAGGTGGACCAGATACCGATCTATTGGAAAAAAATCTTATTTATAGAGCGATTTGCTTGAAACTTGGTACGTAGGTAGCTTATTGTCAGGGTTAAAATATTGGATACTCTTTTTATGATAGTTAGACCTGGGACCGATCTATTCCAAAAATTCTTATTTATGGTCTGATTTGCTTGAAATTCGATACCCGTATTATAGATATGCGTAGAATAGAATTGAGTCATTGTTTTACAGCTCGAAAGGTGTTTGAAGGCACCGAAACATGCGGGTATTGGCTATTTAACAATAGTTATTACACACACCAACAAAAATAGAAACAAATTTGATGCAGCTAATGTTAACGCTATTTTTGACGTAAGCATAAAGTTTCCATCAGCTTCAGATTTTAAGAAAAACAAGGTCAGTTTCAAAGAATCGCGACTTTGCAATATTTGAGAAGCTCTAGCAAAGAAACAAAGGCTTGTAGAACCTCCCACTTAGGCTTAGATTAAAGAAAGAAAATCTCCGGCCGGAAATCGCCACCGGTAGAATTTCTCAAAGATTTTTGCAAACCAAAGACTATTACATAAGACAATGACTAATTCCCGTATTCTTTTCTTTCAGGTTCATCTCTTAAATTACCAAATCGTCACCGAATACTTATATCAACGCAGTGGATGCATCCAACGGTTAAAATCGGAGGACTTCTTTATTATACATAAATGTTTCAATTGAATTCAAATTGTAAATCAAAAAAGTGGCAGGGGCTGAAAGCAAATGAGTAGCTAATCCAGAAAAATGTAAAATGCCGCCAACGCAACAAACTCAGTTGTTGCTGAACATTTCCATCAATAAAAGTACCGATGTTACGTTAACTAGCGTTTCCACCTCAATTAGCACAGTTGTACCTGCCTCTGTAATAACTACCGCTTTCGTCACTACATCTACAATTAATAGTAGCCAGCGGGAAACTCTCGATGAGTGCAGCAACTCTGTAGATGCTGAAAAGGTATACTGGAGTCATTTCGGTATACAGCTAGCTGTTCCAGAGTTGGAGGCCATTCTCACAACAATTGTACTCTCCGTTATAATTGTGCTAACCATAATTGGAAACATACTAGTCATTCTAAGCGTATTTACCTATAAGCCCTTGAGAATAGTTCAAAACTTTTTTATTGTATCATTAGCAGTGGCAGATCTCACAGTTGCATTGCTCGTATTGCCGTTCAACGTAGCTTACTCGATTCTCGGTCGATGGGAATTCGGTATTCATGTTTGTAAAATGTGGCTTACATGTGACGTATTATGCTGTACTTCGTCAATACTAAATTTATGCGCAATTGCCCTAGATCGATACTGGGCCATAACAGATCCAATTAATTATGCACAAAAGAGAACAGTAGGACGAGTTCTACTTTTGATAGCTGGTGTGTGGATTTTGTCTTTAGTAATCAGTTCACCACCGCTTGTAGGTTGGAATGACTGGCCAGACGAATTTACCAGCACCACTCCTTGTGAATTAAACTCAGATCGTGGTTACGTGATATACTCATCATTGGGATCATTTTTTATTCCGTTAGCTATTATGACTATTGTATACATCGAAATCTATATCGCAACCAGGCGACGATTACGGGAGCGTGCCAAAGCTTCGAAAATAAATACTATGGCAAGGAAAAGTGCAGACATTGAGACAGTGATCTTGAGCAACGCAAATGAAAGACAAGAAAACTATGATTTCAGTTCTCTGTGCTTGGCCATGTTGAGTTGTGGAAAAGTTTCGACTCAACCCACATCCGCTATCAAAATACAAAATGATCAAGACTCTATAAGTAGTGAGGCACATGTAAATAACGAGGCACTAACTAAGGATAATATCCAAGAAATGGAGCAGCGTGTAGTTCCACAACGAAAGAAACCTCGTCGTGCGAAAATAAAAGACTCCATTAAACAAAGAAAAATGCGAGCACGGAAGAACAAACAGGGCGACGGCGATAAACCTTATGGCAATAAAACTCCCGCTGTTGTGGATACAATTGGAGCAGAACAGATACTGGTTGTGGTTGGTGAAAACAAATGCTTAGAAAATAGCGAGATTTTAGCTGGCAATAACAGTGATCATAAAGGAGGCACAGGCGGCACAGGGCCAATCGATGTGATCAATGACGAAAATACACCGCCGCAATCATCGACAGGCGCCACCTCATCGGCCCCACCGTTGCAGAAAAAACCTGCCGGTGTATACCAGTTCATAGAAGAAAAACAGAAGATATCGTTGTCAAAGGAACGACGAGCGGCACGCACACTAGGCATTATTATGGGTGTATTTGTTATATGTTGGCTGCCCTTCTTTCTGATGTACGTCATCCTGCCCTTCTGTGGCAGTTGTTGTCCCACGAATAAATTTAAGAACTTTATAACTTGGCTGGGCTATATAAATTCAGGGCTGAATCCAGTTATTTACACAATATTTAACTTGGATTATAGGCGAGCTTTTAAAACACTTCTCGGATTTAAGTGAAAATAGTTTAATAATTATTGTGAAATCATTGATAGCTTTTGCGTATTGTTGTTTTACGTTGATTGTTGTTTTGAGATGTTAAGGTGAACGAACTGAATGGAGCTCTCAACAAACGATCAATAACTTAACTATTAATAAATGTACTTGTAAAATTGTATTCGTCCTAGTGTAGCTCCAAATTGAGATTTTATGGATAAACTTATGTATGGATTAGAGGGCTGCAAATATTCATTCAAAACGGCATATGAATCGTTCATATTCAAAACGAATGAATGATTTTGGCTTAAAATGTTTTTCAATTTGAGTGAATTTTGATATACATATGTATGTGTGTCGTCATAACAAAACCAACCAAACCATGATAAAAACATAACAAGGTAGAACCGTTCTCTCAATTTGTCGGCCATGTTTTTTTTTGAAGTTTGCCAGCATTTTAAAATCATATAAAATCTATACATATAATAAAATTGTAACAGGTCGATGTCTGTACATTATAGATATTAAAGAAAAATTAATATGGTGGNTATGTTTGTAAGCGTATCACGCAAAAGCTAATGTATGGAATTAAATGCAGTTTTCACCGATGTACATATTGCTAGAGCTCTAATTGAAAATATAGAATCCATTTTTTTTTTGTTTTAGTTTATCGTCGATCATTATTCCTTGGTATTTATTTGAATTAACTTTTTCCAGTAAGTCGTTACTTATATTTAGAGTTAGCAACGGACCGTTCTCAAAATTTCGCCTTGATA